CCGTTTTTGAATAGCCGTGAATTCATGTAGAGGATACCTTTTGATATGAAAGAGTATTCATTAGAAAGCTTTAATGGAATACTTTCATTTTAGTCTAACAACGAAGTTCGAGTTTATTATAAAAATAACGAGATATTCTAAAAAAATTTCATGTGACACGAATTTCGAATTTATTTTCACATATAGAAAAGCAAGCCTCAGGGAAATGTCACACGACTATTATTATGGCTCTTGAACTCGGCGGATGGTCTAGTTAGGCATTTAGGTGTAACATTGAAAATATTTGATGTTAAATAAATGTCTACATTTAAATTTGGTAGTAACTTTTCGCTCAAAGGAAAATACATATTTATGCAATTGCGAAGATGGCACAACACGCAAGAAGTTGGATCATTTTATGATGATAAAGTGACAAAAGTAAGGTTCTATAATCCTCAAAAACATGAACAAGACAAGAAACTAACAATTTAATTAAATTATCAAGTATGCACAAAAATCTACAAGCCTAGTAACATTAAAACAATTGGTAAAATTTGGTCAGCCACCATTAAGCCCCTCTGCTTTACTTGAATCAGCAAGATATACAAGATTGGGATTGCCAGTTAGATTAGCAAGACGTGTTAAAGCATTACAAAATTTACCTTTTATTGTAGGAACTAATCCTTACATTAAACGTATTTATAAATTATATTTGGAAACATTTAAAACTATTAGTAATTTTCCCGAAATTGTTGATGAAAAAACTGATATAGAGTTTACGGAAATATTGACTGATACAGTTAGATCTCATTCAGAGAATATACCAATATTGTCAAAAGGTCTTTATTTTTCTTTTTTATATTTTTTTTTCAAAAGGAAAGTAATTATTATTATTTATTTTATTTATGGATGTATATATTAGGATTTCAGGAATGTAAAAAGTATATGTCATCAGAAAATATTAAAGTATTTCTTGATGATATGATAAGAGCTCGTATAGGAATACGTTTAATAGCTGAACAACATATAGCATTACATAATTCAGATGATCCAAATTATATAGGAGTAATTAACACCAAGCTTAAACCAGATAAACTTATTCAAACTTGCTCAAATTTTGTTAAAGAGCTTTGTGAGATACATTATGGTTCATCACCTGATTACATTATTAATGGCCAAACGGATACAATGTTTACTTATGTTCCGGTTCACCTGGAATACATCATATCAGAAATTCTAAAAAATTCTTATCGTGCAACTGTAGAATTCAGCCAAAAAATTAAACGTGATGAACATCCACCAATAGAAATCACAATATCACACGGCAAAAATTATATTGGCATAAGAGTTAGAGATCAAGGAGGTGGTATTGATCCTAAAGATTTACCTAATATCTTTGAATATTCCTATACCACTGTGCCTCAATTTGACGATGATGATCCAAACTATTATAATGAAAATATTTTAGCTGGTGTTTCAAAAACAGGAATGCAAACCGGTATAGGAGGTCCTATTGCCGGATTAGGTTATGGGTAATTATATTGAAAAAAAATTTTTTGAGGGTGAAATATGTGTGTTGTCTAGCAAAAAAGCTTATGATAACTTGAAATCAAAATTATGTATTTTTACTTAACCTTTTTGAGAAACTTAACAAGAAAAATTTGTCAAGATTTTGCTTTTTTCCCAAAAATTTTTTTGTGAGGGTTGATTTTTATTACATAAACTATATTTTTAATATATTTTTTTTTATTGTTTTCTTTTGTATTAAATCATCAATAATAGGCTTCCATTAGCTAGAATTTATGCTGATTATTTTGGTGGATCAATGAAATTGGTATCATTACATGGTCATGGTTGCGATGTGTTTATCAAATTGAAACATATTGATGAATCATTACAAGATTTGCAAATCTAACTGGAAACCTTTAAACAGTATTAATAATTATGACAAGGATTATAATAACGGTTATTTTGTAACAATAATATTTATAGAACAATTAAAAAGTTTTTAGTTGTAAAATGGCAATGTTTTAAAGATGGAAATTGTGGGTTTTTTTGTACTTGCATCAAAAATAAAACATATCAACATAATTAATTAATAACTTTATAAACATTATTAATTTACAGATATTAATTACCCAAATTATTTTTATGATAACAAAAATATACAAATTTTAAATTGGCAATTAATTAGGTGACATATAAATTAATAGAGAATTGAAAAAAGAAAAAAAAATAATGTTTTTTTATAATAAAATAAATATCAAAGAAAGCCATCCAATGTGTAAAAATTAAAAAAAAACCAATTTGTTTTTTTATTTAATTAACCAATTAAAAAAAATCTATTAAAAATTTTTAGAGGAAAAGGTTTTTAAGTATAATTTTATCCTTATATTTAAATTAATATTAAATATATATGTATGCAAAATATGTTATATTTCAATACCATCGTCACCATCACGGTGAAGTGTAACTAAGAATTGAACAAGTGAGTATAATAAACAAGAATACCTTTTGCAAAATATTTATTAAAAAAATTTTAATAATAACAAGGATTCATCCTGTATTAATGATACTTACTACTGTTAAACTCTTCGAATGGGTTATCGCCATTAATCTACACAATAATTTTTCACACTTTCTTGTGTATTCCTAAAGCAGCATCTGTTCCATTGCTTAACTGAGGAATAATTTGTGGTTTAGCAAAGCCCACTGAATATTCTTAAGAATTGATGAGCTTTAACATCTGATGCACCAGCTTTTGATCCAAGTCGTTTGTTTTCGTCCTTACAAAGCAACTTACGGATCAAGGATTTACAAAGACTAATATTACCAACATTAATCAATAAAATTTTGCTGCAAATATAATTATAGTAATTTTAATTTAAATGCTATTTATTTGTTACCTAGATACTTTAACACCTCTAATTTCGGGAAATATACTTCATTTCTTAATATATTTGAAAATGTTGTATTTCTATTTTGGCCTTTGAAAGGTGTAAATCCGTACTGTCATAAAAATAATTACCAAAATTAAATAGAAATTCTTCTTTTTCATCAATAAATTGATCAAACAACTAAATATTATAATTAACCAGCATCTCATATAATTATGCGATATTTTATGAGAAAACCTTTCACTTAGCACACAAGTCGTGTTTACTCACTGTTTTTGAGCATTTCAAAGACAAAGTGCAAAAAGTCAAAATCAAAAAATAATAATGACATATACCAAAAATGGTAAAGTCGCAAGACACTTGGTCGCTTTAAATCCTTCCAAAAATTGAAATATAACATCAAAAAATAAAACGTAAAATTAAGGCCAAGACATTTCTCTAAAAAGTTACGATGTTATATACTATGGTGTGGTTAAGGCTCAAAGTTGCACAAAATTTAATCTTAATACCAAGCCAAAAATTGTTAAACGAGATCCCTTATCAACTGAACTGGGTGGGTAGTTAAATATGTTTTCGGGTTGAAGCAAGGAATATTTGAAGTAAAGTAATCTCCCCTTAGTAATTTGCGATAGTAGCATTTCCACAACGCAGGACGTTCCTTTGTCTTCCCGATCCAGCAAGCTACTTCAGATCCGACCTTTTCTGTATACTTACATTACGCTACAATAACGCTCACTTCATCCAAACTACTGTATTGACCGTTCCCATCTCTAGATAGGATTATTCCTATATGTGTGAATTTAATTTACATAAGATCTATTAAAAAAAGGGCAAGGTGAGAAAATTGGCCCCTGTGTATATAAATTGACTGATGCTCGGATACGTGGAAATATCCGAGAAAAGAGAAATTACTTTGTGGGCTTACCGCGAAGAAAGACACTAGAAAAAAACAGCAGAATAAAACGAGCAATTAATTACCTATATAGTAAAAATATTTGCAAAAGAAAATAATATGGAGCATGGAAAGGTAAGATTAGTAAATAAAGAGTAACAGTAGCCGTTGCACTAAATATTAAAGTTACAACTGTTAATTCCAATCAAATTGGCCTAACTTTTCTTCTCTCTTTATATGGTTCTATTTTGATGCTGTCTTTTCAAAATCTTCGTTATTAAGATCGCAGGCACTGATTGATAAATATGAAGTTGTAGTTTGTGATTCATTAATCATGAGGTAGTCATCAAAAATGGATGATTTTTCAAATTAAACGCATGATTATATTAATGCGAACCTCGAAAGCTGATTGGTGGATTTATTGCTTGAAAAATTGGCAGAGCCTTTGGAAAGTAAATTTCGTGTAACAATCGCTTTTTCATAGAATATTTTTTACTATGCAATTCAGCTTTAAAAAGTGAGTCAGTCAATCCATGTAAAAAAAACTGTCTGATTTTTTTTCGTAGATTTTTTATTGTTATTTTCTTACTAACAAAAAAAATCAAATAACAAAGTATGGAAGGGAGAAATCAAGAGAGTTGTTTTTTAAAAAATCCCGCATCAAATTTTTTAACTCGAGTATATGTGATCGACATTTTCTCAGTTTGTTCAATATTAACTCCGAATTATAATGTTGTCATTTCTTTTAAAGTATATACTTTCGAATCATAGCGTTTGTGGTCACACTCAATAAAGCTGTTTTTATGTAAACATCGTCAGTTATGATGTCACCCGCTACAATAATTTAATAAAAATATTATCAACTAACATACACTAATAAATTAAATATTTTTATTTTATTAAAAAGAAAAAAATTATATTTAAAAGGCATTAATGATGACCGAACAGTTAATAACAGCAATTAAAAGAACTTTCAAATGTCTATTTAAATGATCATTATTTTAGTCGAACTCAACTTCAATTATTTCCAACCTCCGCATTCAAATTCTCCCAATCCAAGAAAATGTTCAAGGTATAACAAGATTATTGGTACCATTTTTTGGATATTCACAATAGCGATCTCCTATATGAATTACTTGAAATATACCTACAAATAGTTTTTTTAAAATTATTAAATTATATAATAAATGAAATAGTTATAATTATAATTATAAAAACCTTCTTGTGACGCGTAAATTGAATATTTGTGTTCATTTATATTAGTGACAGTTTTAACTTCTAAAACACGTCCTTGCTTACGTTTACCGCCAACAATCAACAATTCTCTCCTTGTATAAGTAAATCGAAATGGTGGTGTGCCTTTAAAGTGTTGTTTATATTTTATGAACATCAATAAAATACTATATATAAATTAAAATGCCGGTATAATAATAAAAACCTACCAATCAAATCAACTATAATTTCACTTTTATCGCCTTCTCTAATATCTTCAATAACTTCTTTACCTTCTGAAACAATTGCAGTCGGGAGATCATTAATCATTTCTATTAAATCCGTTGGGTAACTACAGCATTCATTATTCTGATGACACACTTCTGATATCGTCATATTGCCTGGTTTATCCGCTCCAAATATAAATCTTGACGTTTTTGATATTGCATGTCTGGTTTGATTATCATATATATAAGTTATATTCCATGGTGGTATGCCTTTATTTGGGAGGGTGAGAGGGTCGGAGGGAAATATAATTAATTGGATGATTAATAATATTCAATACATTAGCAACATATGATTATTGCATTACCTCGTAATGAATATAATAATAAATCACCAACACAATGAACTTGTTGAGGAAAAGTGCAATGGACCTGGGAAAATGACCGCTCTATTGTAGCAACATCTGTGATTTGTATGGTGATACGTGTATCCGGCCCATCCAACAACAGCCGGCTACAACCATTTGCATCAACTACTTGTATAATAGAAACTGTGTAATTTCCAATTAAGCTAAATTTCCTATTTGGTAAGAAATAGTACTCCATATCATTAATCTCTTCTATATTTACACGTTCAATTTGATTACCAGCCTCATATATTATGTCAAACACTAAACCAAATGGTGGCAATCCCTGCAATCTAACCTTTATTGAATCTTTTTTTGAAAATGGCAAATTGACACAATGATATATCATTCCATGATCATCATCTTTTGTAACAAATTGTGCTTTTGGACTTGCCACGACATCTTGTTCTAATAATAACGATATTGATGTTGCTTTTCTATATATGTCATCGGAAATACTTGTGAAATTATAAATGTAATGTCCTGCAATGCCAGTATTAAGATGTAATCTTGTTGTAGGGAATCCTATTGTTTGCTGTTGAAATTGATCAATTTTCTCGGAAACAATTTGATAAGTGATTGTCCATGGTGCTCTACCTTGCAATACTAATCCAACAGAATCTTCAACTCCTTCACAAACATTTTTACGCTTATAATAATTTTGCACTGCTGGTGGCGATGGCAATAACTCAGCCTCACCTTCTACCAAATTCAATGTTGGTCTAGGTAGCCACATCACCTCTGTCTCTTTCATTTCAGGTATAATATTACCATAACAATAAGCGTCTTTGACTTCCATCAACTCATATTTACCTGGTTCACTAACTTTTACTGCTAAGGAATGATCATATAAGTTATGCACTTTTCTTAAATTATCAGGATAATCTAAATGACGATATCCAACATCCCATGGTAAATTTCCAGTGAGTTGCAGTGGTAATTCAATAGATTCACCTTCACGGAAATATAACAGCTCATTGGCGAATTGGAAACCAGCAGTTGGTTTATCTTTCTTAACATTGATAGTCAGTTGATTAGATTCATTGAGTTTCTGGCTACATCCTACCACATCTGTTATCCTTGTTAGAACCACCGAATATACACCCGGAATATTAAATTGTGGTGAATTGATTGCATGACTTGGTCCTTCAATGGCTCCAACTGTAAATGAATTCCTCTTTACCGAATTAAAAACCACTTCATACCTATGCGAGTGAAAAAAAAGAGTGGGTGAGTATTTGTGCAAGTATGGGCATCATTGATTATAATATGAAAATAAATACGTATTTATAAATGTCTTGATGTAATTTGTAAACTTCATTAAAATAGCAACTTACGTTAATACAAAAGGTTCAGATCCCAAGAAATTGACAACAAATTCAACATAATTACCAACACAAGTATTAATGGCAGGTTTATGATTGATGTCTTTGAAAAAGGCAATAGGTTTCGGGTGAACTTTCTGAGTGTAGACAACATTATCAATTTTAACACCTTCACGATATACATTATCATATAAATGATAAAATTCATATCGATATTCTCCAGAAATATCTGGTTTTATTATTTCAGTGTGGGTTTTCTTTTCACTTTTTATCAGTTTTGACTGCCTTGTACCATTGAATGTTACTGCATATTCAACATGCCTTTATAATTAATAATTAATATATTTAAAATTAAAAAATTTGTTAATAATAAACGGTTATATTAATTATTATAATTGTAATTATATCAACCATATAACAACTATGAAATTTACCATGGATGAACGCCAGTAAAAGTAAGGATCACCTCAAGACCAACTTCTCCGGGACAATTCTCAGCAGGTATAGGGATGGTTTCAATTTTGACTGTTGGTGGGAATGCCATCAATACTGATTTCATTGAAGGAATTAGAATTTGACCTGAACATTTTTCATCATTAACCCCCAGCAATTTATATGTTCCTGACTTATTAACACTTATGGAAGTTAGTTTATTTGCATCATAGTCTACTATTAAATCAAGTATCTCATCTGGATTTTTTGAAGTGGTGACAGCATATTGATCAACACCCTCTGTCCAATATCCAACTTGTACTTTCCACGGTGCTATATGTATATATATTTAATATTTAACATTTAACATTTAACATTTAATATTTTTTTGATTTTTTTTACAAATAACAAAAATTGATATTTACCATGACCAGTTAGAACTAGATAAATTATAGCAGATTTCTGAGGTCGAAAATGTTCAGTTGATTCACTATAAAAACTTGCAGTAGGTCGTGAATTGACATTGAAATCAATGGAAGATGTCAAATCATGTGATTTTTTTGTGTATACACGAGTATTATTTAAAAAGTCTTGAACTTGCAAAATGGTTAGACGATAAATGGCAATTGTGTCAGCGGTAAGATTCAACGGTACTTCAATCTGTTGATTGGTAACCCACTCATAATTTCCAATAACTGCCAGACTTTCAGCTTCAGCTGCTGTAATAGTTGAAGTATAATATGATGGCATGACATCATTTATTGACATATTAACCACATCGAATTTTACTCTTCGTTCATAGATCACATTTAACGGTGGCACACCATTCAGAATCAAGTTGACATTGAGATCATCATTGATGCACAAATCCAATTTAGATTTTGGTAAGAATATAGCTTTAGGACAATGAGGTATTATGGCTTCTCGTTTATAAATTTTTATCCCCATCCCACTATCATCTAATGCCTCATCAAGCTGGTAAACTCCAGGCCTAAACACTGGAAGATAGACATAGACAACATCCTGGATAACATCAATGAAACGATTGTTTTGAATGTCTTTTTTTTTGTATTCGTAAAAAGTTTTCAATCCTGTTTCGAAATCTATTATTTTAAATTTGATATTTATTGGTGATGTCTTGTTGAATAGAATTGGTACTTTCATCATCTTAGTGCTGGCACTTTTTTTCCTATTATAATAATCATCTGTTGAACTATCTATACAGAATTTATCATCATCTGGATTTAATTTTGCAGTTGCATATGGTAACAATCTAACTGTATGTTTACCTTTTATGTGGGATGTATTATGTCTTATAACTAAATATATATGTATGAGTGTGAGTGTGCGTGTGAGTGTAAGTTTGATTTTAAATATTTTGTTTTAATATAATATTATATTTTAGTTAGTAATTTTACTTTCTATTTTTATATCCTCTTCAGAACTAACAGCTCGTACTTTTTCAGTCTTTAACTTTTCATATTGTTTTTGAACTATATTTATTATTATTTATTTATTAGATATTACCAGAAGAAAATAAGCATCTAGTTAGAAATCATTAATCATTAATCATCTACAGATAAATAATCAATCAATCAATCAATCAATCAATCAATCAATTTACTACTAACTCATTAAACTTGATACACTTAGTATTTCTGATAAGGGTCTAATAACTCCAATTTCTAAAGCCTAAGAGAATAAACGTTAAATTATATACGCATATGTATATTATCTGCGTTTGTATAAAATAATAGTAAAGTATATATTTGTACAAATTTTTACCGAAGCAGGCTGTAAAAAAGCGTAGTTTATAGTACTCATAACAAATATAAAAAGTAGCCAGCGCCAAAGAGGATGCTGTAACCAAGGTATTCGTAATATGTACAAGGTAAGGAAGTAGATCGAGTCAAATATACACCATTTTAACCATATATCGTACGTTGATGATGCGAGTATTGATTTATCCTCTGGAGAAGAGTAATAATAGTTGAAAAAATCAAGTATTTTGATTGCAAGCAAGGCAACAAAAGTTGAGACGGCTAAAAGTCTTTGAGTTGGTGCTGCTATTATTTCGGTTGGTATTAATGGTAATGTTTGTTGGTTCAAGTCGCGTAAAGTTCGTGGATTATTATCATTCATGTCTATATATATTTATGATTAAAATTAAAAAAATTTTTTGATTTTTATATCACATGATCCCTATTCGATGTTTGTGTAACAAATTTTGAAAATCCTCGATCTAAATAAATTTTCATGTGTTAAGAAATTGATAACTCGGTAAAATAGCATTACTATATAAAATGTTTTCCTGAATCAGATGTGGGCTATTAAATATTTCTAAATATGTTATTTTGAGATGAGAAAAATAATAAATTTTAATTCGAGCGAAATCTTGTTGTGAATATGGTTAGATGATGCTTTAGCCTTAAAAAAATTACCAAAATTAGTGAGTTTATTCCTAATATTTATTAATATGATACAATGATAGCAAAACACTTCATTCATTCGTACAATGTATGTATGCATATACATGCATATTCAATTGATCATTCACTAACTAAAATAATCTATATTTTATTGGCTCATTCAAAATTTAAACTGTAATGTATATTTGTTATTAAAAGAAGTTGTATCAGTATTTGTTGTTGTCATTCAATGTCAAATCCACTTGTGCATCTAACACATTCACATCTTTTAGTTGTAAGGCTCTGCAATATCATTACTATATCTTTACAAATCTATCAAAAATATGTCATAATTAAACTGTATGTATTTCAAACTCTGATCAAAATTTAATTTTATAATAAATATATTACACATAACTACAACTTAATTAACTTAATTCATGAAAGTCACAGGTAGTTACAGATTCTTTTTGGTAAAAAGTTTGTGCATTTTTTTTTGGTTTTTTTATAAATTATAAATAAATGTATTATTTTCCTGAAAGTTATTTCTCTTTTATAAGGAATTTTTTTTTTCTTTATAATAAAAATATAAGAATAATAAGACTATATTAATTAATATAAATAAATATAATAAATATATATAAGGAGTATACAAACACTCGGTACAACAAAAAAAAAATCCACATTTTTTTTTAAAAAAAAAAAAAACTTAATTAAAAAATTTACAAATGCCAGAGCCAATTTTATCAACTTTTAAAAACTTTATTCCTTCTGCTGAGCAGTTTGGTTCTATTGGAGCAACTACTACATCAACTGTAAATAATACAATTAATAATACTACACCAATATCAACAATGTTGACATCAACCACTTCAATAATTACAACTCCAATAACGTCAATATCGTCTAAAACTTCTGCTGCCACATCGTTTACAACTACGTCCTTTACTAATTCAATCCCTTTTTCTCAAGATGAAAACAAAACCTTTGTTGAACATTTGCAAATACTTGTTAAAATAGAACCTCCAAACACAATCATTTATCATGCTCTATCAACTGACTTGCCCATACCTAATCTATTAGAAATATTTCAAACTTCTGCTCAAAAGATTGACCACTGGTTAGAATATGCTAATGTCACTATACTTGCATTAGACTTTGACATAAAGGAGGGTGTTAATATTAGAAATGTTAGTGAAATGGATGTGCTAATACACAAATATGCCCCTAACATTGATTTATTACAAGAACTTTTTCAATTAACTCTATCAAAATTAAATAGTGGTGATGATCAAAATTATAAAGACATCAAAGTTACTTTTGACAGAATAAATTCAGATTGGTTAGAAGTAAAATCTTTTTTTGCAAAGGTAAAAAAAGAAATATCAGAGTCAAAACAAAGACGCGAATTCTTGGATAAAATGGATCAAATTTTAGCATCTATAGAAGAATTAGATATAAGTATATTTGAATATCAGGAACAAAGACATAGTGACAATAATCAAAATAGTAATGAGTCATCATTTCCTTTTCCTAGATTAAGTTCAAGCCCTACCTTAAGAAATAATAGACCAATAACTCCTGGTGCTCCAACTGGCATAATAAATAATGGTAGTGGTAATAATATTGATTTTGATGCTGCTCTCATCAAGTTGGATTCAAAATTAGAACCTTTATCTGCGCGTATTGAATATTTGAAATCTCGTCTAACTGGCTCTAATGCTCCCTCAGATCCCAACGGTATATTAAGGAAAAAATATAATTTGCTAAATGACAAATGGGAGTCATTGAAAAATGAAATGGATTCGTTAAGGGAAGAATTGAAAGAGGATAAATGGGTTGGTGTTTTTAAACAAGTTGGTGGTAATGCTAATCAAATGATGGACTCACTTGAAAGATCCGTCAAACAATGTAAAGATTTTATGTACAGGGCCGCAAACGGACCTGACTCTACATTGCCTTCAAAATATTTAAAAAATTCATCTTCAAGAGGTATGTTAAATAATAATCAAAGGCCTTATTCAAGAGAATCCAATCAACAACAAAATAATAACAACATACAACCACAAGTGCCAATAACCCCTAGAAATTATCAAAGACTTTATAAAAATTTCGACGCTAAAAGCAAATATTATGTACCAGCTGTCACAAAACTGTTAACTATGCTTGGTAATAATATTAATAATCAGATGACTCGAGATTGGGACTCAATTAATAAATATAATGCAATGAAAGAAAGATGGGATAGCATACTTGATGGTGTTAATGATGTCCATAGAGACATGCCTGCTCTAGAATACGCGTTAGATGCTTCATTAATCCCAAGTAATTCACCTCCTTCTTCAATACCCTCCTCAGTAGCTTCATCGCCACCAATTTCTCCCAACGTGGGGCCAACAAATCGTCGGCCTGTATCTCCATATAGAAGAGTTGTATCTCCTACAGAATATGGATATTCTTCATCGCCACCAAGGAATAACAATAATTTGATGTCATCTTCCACGAGATCAAAATCACCGTCTCCTCCAAATGGTCGCAGGTCCGTCAGCCCACCACCAAGCATATCGTCAGACCGGCAATGGAACCCTCATCATCAACACCAAAATCATCAACAACAACAATATAATCATAACTATTACGATCATAATCAACATCATAATCAAGATCACCATTATAACCAAGATCACCATTATAATCAAGATCGCCATTATAATCAAGGTTATGTTAACAATAATAGTCATAATAGTCATCATCATAGTAATAATAATTATCATGGTGGTGGTGGTGGTAATTATCATGGAAATAATTATCATCGCGCATTATCACCTCCACCAAAAAATGGAAGATCAAAATCATCTAGCAGATCTGGATCACCGATTCGTCCAACTTCTACCAGACCAATATCACCAGATCGTGTTAATCCATCAGCAATACCACGCCCCGTTACAAGTATGGGTATAGGTTATAGGTCACAATCAAGAGCTGGAGCAAGGTCATTTTTACCAAAACCTAGTACACCTCAACCAGGTATGACACCAACAATGTCTCGTCTAGAAATGATCTCGCCTACATTACCACCAATCAACTCATTTCCATCGTCAAGACGTAATAACCCAGTAAGGTCGCCAACACCATCGTCAGTGACAAGTAGTACATCGAGGCCGATAACGCCAGAAATTTATGATGATAATAATAATGGTAGTGGTAATAGACCAATTACTCCAACAGATACTTTATTACAAAGGTCCATGTCTTCTTCTGAAACACGTTCAAAATACGTACCATTAAAAAATGATCCACTAGACATTGAAGTGGCAAAGGTGGTAAATTCATCGCCATTAGCGGTAAAGGTGGAAAGGGTATCAACTGGTACGGGAAAATATTATTTTGGTAATGAGAGTGTTGGACGTGATAGAAAAGTGCATCTTTGTAAATTAATGAATTTTGCAAGTGGTCGAAATAAAGTTATGGTTCGTGTTGGAGGAGGATGGCAAGATTTAGACATGTTTTTATTAGATCATAGTTTAATGAATGTTAGAATTTAATATATATTTTATTTATAAATTTCTTTTTTTTATTTATACTTCAACTTTAGAATTGTACAGGTATCTTTGTTGTTCAAATAGTTTTTATTTTAGATAAACTTTATTTAATTTTTATCACATTATGCATTACATTATATTTATCAAAAGCAAGAAAAAAAATCAAAAAAAAACATTAATTTTTTTTTGTGTATATATATATAGAAGTTTCTTATTATATGGGCCAGGCAGGACCCGGATTTTGATAATAAAAGTTTTAGTTAGTAAGTTAACATGTAAATTTGGGGTGAAGCTAATAAAAAAGTTAGAAAATCCTACCGTAAAAAGTAAAGATATGATGCACAATCACGTGATCTTGTCGATGAGTTAATTAGTCTATTTATATCAGCGATTGTTCCAATTGGCCAATGAGATTTTGGTAAAGTTTTTGAAAATTTACAAGGAAAGCACCCAAGGGGTTAAAGGAAGTCAACAACCATGTCAAAAGGAAATAAACATAATAAAGAGATTAGTGATTGTGTGTTAATATGTGATCATGCATGTCATTATGAATGTTTTCAAAAATTAGATTTTAAATGCAAATATTGCCTTCAGTATAAACATAGTGGGTATTCAATTTTAGAAGATGATCGATAATAGTTGCACCACATATGTTTTATATACAAAATGGCCCGTCATCTGACTTTAACTCAATTGTATGCCACCAAAATCACGCCTTCTATTTTATAGATTGCAAAAGTAATTCAATAAAAGGTGAATTAATTCAGATGTTAGCTATAGAAGTCTTTTTAGCATTTGGTAAATTATATGTTCACTGAAAATAATAAACTTAAATTAAATCATTTAACAAATATGGACCATAAATAATATTAACAGAAAACCCATGTTCTGTTTAATATTCTGGTTAATAATTTGAATAAGTAAAACGTTTATTTAAATTATTCTTTTATATTTTTAGAAGGTGCATTTATAAACATTAATCATAATTCTTACGCTATTTCATAGTTCTAAATTATGTCATGTAAAGGATTACTGAACTAAAAGAGGACATTAATTGGGTTATAATGGTGTTATTAATCTATGGTGTGAATGCATGAACTAAAGATACTTGCTGTAAATAATTTGTAGGTAGCTGCTACAATTGCCGTAAATAGCTGTTGGTAGCTACCATTTTTCGTAAATAATTACGGCTGCCACAAATAGATGCAGTTGCCGTAAATAGATACGGCTACCACAAATAGATGCAGTTGCTGTAAATAGATACGGCTGCTGCAAATAGCCATGACTACCGTAAACAGACACGTCTGCCGCCAATAACTACGACTGCTGCATTAGTATTATTAGTCATATTAGTCATGCGAAAATTTTCTTGAATTATTTGTGATCTGCAGTAACTGAATTTTTGAATTGTAATTGATGAATTCAATTAGTCGGTCATTCATTTACTATTTACTATGAATTATATGTAAAATAAGATTTGCGGCAGCCGTATTTATTTTATAATGGTAGTTACCATTGCCGCAAATAACCAATTACGGCAGGTGTCTTAGGCACAACAGATTTAAGCCTAGAAGGAACTAAAGGACACCTAAAAACCAATGAACATAAAACATCAGAATTACAACTTCAAAATGAAATAAATAAAAAACAATTAGCGATTATTTCATTAATGATAAATGATTATTTTTTATATTATTCTTATTTTTATTAAAATTGTTTGGTGATGGTCAACAAAATGTGCGCATTCTTTATGTAACACAGCCGCCCGCATTCAATTTCTATACTGGTGGATTTTGAATGGATTATAAGAAATCAAGTTTGGTAGTATTTATTTCAATTATTTTTTTACTTTTTTAAAAAAATTTTTTATAAGGCAACAAAAGTATCACGTTAACTCATTTGTAACATATGTGAATTGATCGACATGGTGTATTAATTTCCAAATTTGGAAAAAATCTCAATGGACATGATAACTACTTCTACTAGAGTATATACTTGCATCAACTTAAAATTCATTTGATTCCATTCGAAACTAATTTCCTTCTCCAATATATAAAGATCATTCTGCAATTTGGAAACATCAGACGAATAAAAATTTAATTTTTGCGTGATATCTAGAAGGGAGATCATCGTAAAATTTAGCCAATGAAATCAAACTTCCATCATGCTGTTTTACACGCGTTCTTATTTTTATTATTATTCCTGTTCCAGCCAATGAAACTTAAATTTTATCGTGTAACAAACTGTACTTAAATTACTATGTTATCGCCGATCACAATAAAATGATTTAAAAAAAAATGTTACGTGATTTTTTTCTCAAAAATTTTTTTTCCAAATAATAAGACAACCCATTATTTATTACTTATTAAGTAATTACAATATTAACTTATATTTATTATCTTATAAAAAAAAACCTTTAAAATTTACAAAACACATCATTTGCACAATTTAGCATAATTACTCATCTGCTAATTTACAATTTATAAATATTTTCTTAATATATAATAAAAGATGTTCACAGAAATAAAAAGATTAAACGTATTTGATTACAGTGATTCTGAACTAATCTCACAAATACATACTACTTGTGTTGAACAAGGTATTCCTCTTGTAATAGAGAAATACCATTTAAAACAAAATTGGAATGCTGCTATATTCACACAAAATTGGTTAAGAGACAATTACGGACAGCAAGGTACTATATTTATTAATATTTAAAACAATGCTAATTTCATTTTTTTGAGAAAGAAGGATCTGGTACAAGATCCAGAATTATTTTTAACAAATGCTTTTTACAGTCGAGTTGTATATTTCTAATAATTAGTTAATTTATTCACCTAAATTTTAATTTTTAATAGAGATTACTGCTCGTGACATGCTAACTAGAACAGATGAAATTATGAAATTATCTGAATATCTTGATTTTGTAGAAAAGGCTCCAATAATCGAGAAAACAGGGGAGGAGAAGAAGAGGCTATATGGTAAAGACATTATATGTCCTCAAGGCTGGAAGGATGCTATTGATGAATTTTTACCAAATTACTTCACATACCATGATGTGAATGATCTCATGGGTAAATATTGAATTATCAGTTGTTTGTAATTTATCCATTATAATAAATAATTCTAATTAAAATAAATCTATTATTTACAATATAATTACATAATTAAGGTAATTTGCGTCCACAACTGCGTGCAGACAATCTTATGATATATGTTGGCTTTGGAGGAACAAAGTAATAATATAGATATTTTCCTTAAAAAGAAACTTTGAAGTTAATTACAATTATATATTTACTGAATTTGGTAATAGAACCCCTCTACACAAAGATATGTGTGCTTCATTTGGTCACAACATAATGGTCAGCGCAGATCCTGGTAAAGAATTATGAATAAATTTCTAATATTAGAAACTATATTACATTTTATATATTTATTAAATTCGAATAATTAAATCAGGTGCATTTTCAACTTGGTATATGGTCAGAAGTGAAGACGCAGATAAAATGCAAAGCTTATTAAAAACGATTAATCAAGATATTGATCTTGAATGCTACACTGCCACTCCTGAATTTCTCTCAACTGCTGATTTCACTGTATATAAGACTGATCAACACATTGGTGATCTAGTGTTAGTACCATCTGAAAGTTGCCATGAAGTAATTAATGAGGTAAAAAGCATAATTATTATTAAAATTAATTATTTTTGTTAGCTTAATTGTATTTTTTTTTTTTTAATTTTTAAAGGGTTGTTGCACAATTAAAATATCATGGAATAGAGTAACTCCATATTCTATAAAATCTGCATTGGAAACTGGTCTACCGAATTACCATCGGTAAATTTTTTTGAAAATAAAATTTTTTTTTAAACTTTTGTGACAACCGTATATTTTATAATTTCATTAATTAAACATTACTAATTAAATGATTTTAATTTCTTCAGTGTGTTACGTCCTGAAACTTACAATATAAAACGTATAATCTATTATAGCATCATAAAATGGACTATTGGATTTGGATTAGTTAATGTTAATGATTTCAAGAAAATGAAATTTGAAGGATCGGATTCTGGCACACTTAAAAAGTATATTGATACTATCTGTTCTCAACCTGGTCGTGACATAAAAGCTGAATATAAGACTTTAATATTGTCATTTAAAAAACTCATTGAAGAAGAATGGGTCAATGCAGAAGCTTGGGATGATCGTAAAAAACTCATGAAGGTAATTTTGAAAATAATTATAAACATATTTTCTTTATCATATCAAATTAAAAGTTATTTTATGCTAAATATAGTTAACTAATAACCACGAAAGTGGACTTGTTTGTGATTATTGTCACTGTAATATTTGGAATCGACATTACCATTGTTATTCTTGCCAGACGGAAGATGAAACATATTTTGATTTATGTTTACAATGTTATGCATCTGGAAGGGGTTGTCAACATTTTATGTATCTCAGAAGGCACCTAAAAATGAGACATATCTTAAAAGTTTATAAAAGTGCAAGAGATACATATTATAAAAAGTTTGACCAGGACCCGTTATTGCCAAGTACAATTGAATTAGAAGGGTAAAAATTAATTAATCAATCAATCATTATTATATTTATTTGTTTTGATTTAATTTTTAATTGTAATAAGATTTTAAAAAAGTTTTTTTGTTTCTTTGGGAAAACAGTAGCATTGGCACGTCAAGTTATGATTTATGGAAGGCTTCGTATGAAGATTTAGAACCACCTACTCCCTTACCACACCCTAATGTTGTTTATATGGAGCCTTCAAAACTATTTGTCAAAGAAAAGAAAGATAACTTAAAAAGAAAACAAATTGATGAGGATGGTAATGATAATGATAGCGATAGTAATAGTGATGACAATGGCAATGGAAATACTACTAGCGACAATAATAAAAACAAAAATGAAAGTGTGAAAATAAAAAGTGAAAATAAAAAGGTTTGTTTATTCTCAATAATTTAATGATGATTTATCATTTGAAAATATCTTATAAGATCATTCATTCATAAATTTTTTTGCATAGATCAAACTTCAACCTAAAAAATCAAAATCCAATAACAAAGCTCATACCAATTCCGATACCAAAACCTGCAACAATAAGAATCAAGTAACGAGAGGAAGAGGGAGACCTAAACTAAAATCATCTGATGTCTCAACTACTTTCAACACTATTATTAACTCTAATATTAATACTACTGCTGCCTCCTCTTCTACTACTGCTTCTAGAAAAAGAAAGCGAAAAATGAATGATGTTGATGATGATAATTATGATGATGATATGACAACCACTTCTAGCACTTCTACCACTATTTCTTCTGAATTTGATACTACCGTTGCTACTAGAAAAGGAAAACAAAAAATGAATAATAATAAGGGTAGTGATCTATCAATCACTTCCAACAGTACTTCTAATATTGGTACTATTGCAGCCTCTCCCACTACTATTGCTAGAAAAGGAAGAAAAGAAAAACGAAAAATTAACAAGAAAGCTGATGCTGCTGGAACCACTTCCACAAACACTTCTTATAATATTGATACTACTGCATCCTTTTCTTCTACTAAAAAAAGAAAGCATGTAGATGATAGTAATGATCTAACAATAGATATAAATAACAAAAAAGTATATATATATATATATTGTAACCTTTTTTATTTTCAATTAATTTATTAACACACATTTTTTTTTCAATAGAAAAAATCAAACAATATTGACTTTAAATTCATGAAAAAAGTCGTCGGTGATCTTAGCAAACTATAGCTCTTTATTAGTTATTTTAATTAATTATTTATTTTTATCATTAATCAACTAATCAATTATTTATATTAATATTTAATGAATTCTTATTGCATAAATAAAGCTAATATTTTTTTAAAAATTTGACAATAATAGATATTTATTATTAAAAAAAAAAATTTGTTTTGGAGTTTGGGCGAAACTAATTTAAATACAATATATATATCTCAAAGTTCTAATGAGCACATATTGGCATTATACATTTGTCATTTTATTTTTCTATTTTTATTTAAATATAAAACTTATCAATTATTTATTGTTTCTGAAATCTAATGATATCTTTTTCATCTTCTACTGTTTCATATTCATCACCTTTATCACTAATTTCATCAAGTCATAAATTATTAACAGAATTGTCTTCCTTTTTTATAAAATTCCAAGCAATAACTACATCTATTATTTTTCTCTACAAAGCGTTTGTGGCGATAAGCACGACCACATACAGTTCACTCTCACTATAACGAACACTAAGTAAAATCTCTCCATAATGAATGAACATCCCCTTTGTCCATTAGTTTCTCTCTTTATAAACGAACAAAGGCGGGAAATAGAGAGAGTGAACTGTTCAGGGCGCAAAATGCCAATTGAAATTTACCGGAAAATTTCCGGAAGCAATAAATTTTACCATGAAAAAAAAAAACGGAAATGGTGTAATGTAAAAATATTTTTTTTAATGATTATACAAAGTGTAAAATTTTGAGTATGGATTTAGAAGTAGCTCAAGGTATGTTCTATAAATACCAATTCTTCCAATGCCTTCTTTCTTTGTTAAAGTAAAAATTAATTATTTTGATATTTCAATTTATTAAATCCAGAAGAAAATTCTAATAATAGTACTTTTGATGCTGAACTTGCTGAATTGAATATTGTTACCGGAATTAGATTTTGACGCAGATCCTTGAATCTCTTAATTCGGGACAGTTTAAATTTTATTTTATTTTCATTATTTTTTATTATTTTTATTTTTATTAATTCTATTTATTTATTAATAACTAGAAAAGTATCAGCCAGATTGAAATTGAATAAAACCAGTACAACCAAGTCAATGCCAAAGTGAAAATAAGATTTTAAGCTTAGCATGAATTTATATCTTTGGATTGATTACAGGAATAAAATAAGTTTATTTCGTATCACTAAAATTTATCATTATTTTATAATAAAATGAAATTGATAGAGGGAGCATATATATAAATTGTAGCTTTCATATTTATAATCTAAATTAATAATAATAATAATATAGCTAATGATGATGATAATAGAATCCTTACTATCATCAGATCTAAATTATAAAAAAATTTCTATCAGCACAAAAAATATAACCATCCACCAGGCAGAGATTTAATACCAAGCACAATGTACAAATTCACGAGTTTAAAATAACGAAAGCAAAAAACGGCCAAATGAAAATAACTGCACAATGATTAAAATTCCTATAAAATAATAAAAATAATTTTAAATATATTATTATTTAATAAAATTAATTAAAAAAAAAAATACTCACCCAATCTGCATCTACATCCAATGCCCACTGAAACTTTTCATGGAGGGTCTTGTTGAAAATTTTAGTGATTGGCATATCATATTTTTTGCACCATGCAACAGAGATCTGTGGGTCTAGGTAATGGATTTTTGATGTGCCTAATGCAGTTGTCTTGTTGTCCTCTTTATCTTGTTTTAATAACTTGGTGGTTTTAATAAGTTCTGTCAATTTTTCTATTTGGATCTGGAGTTTTTCACTTGTTTGTCCATTTCTCAGACTGACCTTTCCAGATTTTCGTTCATTCTTCAACAACTTCTCCTTTTCATCAATGTTTTTTAATAATTGTTTGAGATTCTCATCAGGTTTAGGTGACTTTCCTTCTCCAGTAAGCTTTTCATTATCTCTTTCAAATTTTTTTACAGCTGCCAAACATTCCCCTTCCATCAATTGCTTCTCATGCTCAATTATCCATTCCTCTTCCATGTCTGATTCTGGTTCAAATAGTTGAGGCTTGCTCTTTTTTAATCTGGGGACAAGATTCAACAATTCCATTTTACATCTATTTCTTTGGTATTTCAAAGCATGAACCTAACATATTAAAGAATACATACATGTGAATTTATTTAAGAAATTAACAATAATCATGATAAAAAAAAATTAATTACCTTATTGTCAATTTTATTGATTTGATTATCATGATCTTTGCTGATGGAATGTTGATGGTTGCATAAAATAGCAACCTGTTTGTTTGCTTTATTATATGCTGCTATTTTCTCTCTTATAGTAGTAGCATTCTCCATCCCTTTCTTTAGCTCAATTTGGAAGGTACAAGATGCATTGTATGTACAAAATACTTTGATAGTTAGTCCTTTCATGTATTCAGACAAATGTTCATTCAAATCTTGAGCCCAAATGAATTTTTAAAGAAAATTTGAATTTATTAATAGAACAAACACAAACGCACACACATATATGTGATTGATTAAATTTAAATCTTGTATTTTTGTACCATTAATCTGTCAAATAACTCTTCACTGGATTCCTTATTCTTCATAAATATTTTAAGGTTTTCGAAAACTTGATCTATTACTTCTACTGAGTTTACATATCTTACTGAATTTTTACCTAAGAAATCAAACTCAACTGTCCTTGGTGGTACCAAAGTAATATGTTCACATCTGAGGGAACAACAACCCACAGTATCTGCTTCTTTGCCAGTTTTCTTATTTCCTGCTCTTAATGCAAGCTTGTCAATAAGATACAGGGCAGTAGCAGGTTGATGAACTGATTTGAATTTATTTTTTAAATCCCATGTGTAATCATGTCAAATTTTTTCTAGATGCTTATTAAGCTCTCTAGCTTTATTGAATTTTTCCAAGTCCTTTTGACCGATTTTTGGTCTTTTTCTCTAATATATTGGTTAAATGTATTAATGAAACTAGAGTAACTACAAGTGGCGGGCAATAACTGCCACCACCATCCTTAACACTTACTCTCTTTCAAATTCTTCATCTTTTCCTTTGCTTCTTTTTTTGTTTCCTGAAGACATTTTTTAAAAAAAAGAAGTTTGTTATTTGATCAACATATACACATTAATTATTTATCCCATTGGTTTGGAAAAACAAAAAACAATTTATTTTTTGACAGTGTCCAAGGTGACAACATCAGGAAATTAATTTAGCGTAAACTTGCATAAATCTTACAATGCTGACGTAATATTGTGTAAATCTTACAGTGCCGACGTAAGTTTTACACTTTTTTATCATTAAACTTACAATTGACACGTGTAAAATTTTTTTATATTTTCCGGATGAAAATGTGAGTGTTGTTGTTTGGTTTGGTGTTAATACTATATATATATGGTGTAGTAGATGTTGAATATGGTTTCAAAGACCATTTCATTGAGTCAATCAAATTT